TCCCTCGATCAAACCTTGTACATTTAGACGTTTAGTTCCAAACAACTGCCCGTTAGTTTTGTTTAGCGAATGACGTTCCCTGATTTTGGCAATTACCAGAAGATGATCCGAGTCGCAATCCGCCCCCCTATAAGACCTAACATCGAGTACGTTCGTGTGACGCCGTTTATCTGCAAGAACGTGATCAATTTGGTTACGCGTGCCTCCATCCGGGGAAATCCAAGTTTGTTTATGGATATTTTTGTGTTTAAAATACGTGCTTTTGACGATAAGATTTTTGCCGGTCGCAAAGTTAATTACCCTCACTCCGTTATCGTTACTTTCCTCGTGCAAACTTTCGAGCCCGATCGTTGGTCTAAAAATGTCCTCTTTACCGATTTTCGCGTTAAAATCTCCCACGACTATTTTCATGTAATCGTTCGGTAATTGATCCACGAGGTGTTCGAGTTCCTCATAGAATCCGTCCTTAATTTCGTCATCTTTATCTTCCTTTGGCGCGTGTACGTTGATTATCGCGATCTTGTACCATCGGCCCTGCACAACGAGCAATCCTAATCTTTCGTTTATAAATTTAATGTCTTTTACTGCGGATAAGATTTTCCTATTAATCACAAAACCGACGCCAAGACTATGGATCTCCGACCCTCCATAGCGTGTATGAACTCGCATTAAGCAAACCTTCCCCAGCCCATCTTGTTTCTTGCAACGCGACGACTTCTACCCCGTACTTTTCGATCTCTCCGACCATCGATTGAAACGCTCCAGGTCTGTAAAGACTTCGGACGTTCCACGTACCCACTTTGATATCTCTCCCGTTTTTTGACTTTATGCGACATGAGTTCCCCGAAGTAGTCCCCACCCGGAGAATGGGGGACTAGTTTACCTCCGGAAAATTTTACCCCAGAAGAATCCATGACGAGCTTTGGTTGTTTCTAGATAAAGTCGTTTCACGGTGTGAGCCTATCAAACCCACGCCCAACCCCCAAACAGGAGGACCATTTCCAATCTGCTGTCCGCGACTGCTTATTCAATTTATTCGCAGCTAACCTCTATCCCTACCCGAGATAGCGAGGCTTTTTTCCTCTATTCGCAATCCGAGGACGCGCTGTGTCGTGGTGATAGGGACCCACCCACCCCGGGGATCACTACTACAACTAGTTTTCCTTCCCCGAGACTAGCGGTTGTTATACTAACACAGCATTTTTAATCTGTGCTCTAATAAAAGTATATAGAAATGTAATATATATAGAATATGAATGAAGAAACTCAATTTTTTAATATAAGTTCATTATGTATTTAAAATTATTTATGTAGAGTTACATTGTGATGCATGAACTAGTTGTCCAGTACATAAACAAAATATTTATTTGTACTATATCTTTGTAACTAATCAATGAATTGCAATAAAACTTTTCATAAATTATTTTATGTAAATATTTAAAGTGCTTATAAAAGGAAAATGTAAATTTCTTTATCATTTAAAAAATTTTAATTTTTAGTAATAAAAATAATAACAATTAAAATAAATAAACTATAAAAATGTGTTATTAGAAAAAAAATATAATCTTATTCACACAACTTTCATATGTATATATTTTATTTGAAATTTGGAAATATTAAACATACTTCCAAATTTCTTTGCAGTGACTGTGCGTCTAAATACATCCTGAAATTGTATACTTAACATCTTGTAGATGCCTCTTCACCTAAAAAAAAACAATGTAACAAAAATATGTTCAAAAAGTATTTAAAAAAATATGTCCTCCTCGTTTCACTTTTATCTGAAATACATTTTTCCATATTGTTTCTAAATAATTTGATGCAGCAGTTAAAACGAGATACCTTATATATGTATGTACATATGTAACAAGGATAATTAATATCAATTATGTGAAATAATCACACATTGTGAACTGCAAGTTATAGTACTCGCTTATATCGAATTCTACGTTAAAAATATATTTTGCTTAGTACTTCTCGTATATGTCTCTTGTATATGTCTCACGGTTTGATTAATTATAACAATTACAATTTATTTACAGGCACGTCCATTTACAACTATGCTATATATCACGCAAACTAAACATAATATACAAAGTACAAATATTAGTACAAATGATATGGTACTTTATTGTTGAAGCTATTCCGTTCTATCTATCAATGTATGAATTGCTTGGAGAGCATAAGATTATATGGACATCTGTTAATATTTTCCGGCATTTAAATCTGCATTTATTATTCGTTTTGTATAGCATTTTATTTCTCACATTAAACTACGTATGTCAAACTGTTTACGATAAGGTATAGTTACAGTCGATTAAAAGCATTAATAATTATTTATAATTAAAATAATAACACAAGCAACAATGAAATTACACATGTCAAAATGACGAAATCTTATTCATTTAATGCAAAGTTTATAATTTTACTACAAATTTTTGTTTTACATTAAAATAATTTCAGATAAATGAAACACTAGCAATTCTTTATAAATTGTCCAGTTATAATCTGGATGAGAATTTACGTGAACAGGTAAATACTTACAACAAAGTTTTAATTGTCTTATTTATAATTTTATTAGCTCTCAAATTTCGGACATCTATATAAATTTTATCGAATAATTATACACAAAATTGGAATATACAAAATTAAAATTATTTTTTAATTTAATAGAACTTGAAAATTCCGTATTTTCACACGAAGTTGCTCATCGCTTCTTAAGAAAACAGGAATCATAACAGAGAATTACATCAGAAGATTAAAACATTATTAAATTTAACTCTCTTGATTTCTATTCACGCTGTAAATTCATACCACAAGCGATTGAAGAAAATTATTTTACCATCTAGTAACTTGCTAGTATTGCGTTTTTAATTTTATGTAATTTTTTTTTAGTAATTTTTTATGTAATTTTATTTTGATACTATTGTAACACCTTCGGACTAACGATTTTTGCTTAATTAAAATATATTCTGTAAGTTTTTTATTCATTGTCATCTTGTTTGTACTGATGATGGTCAAATCTTGACCGAAACGTCTACTTTATTTATATGTGAATTTTAAATATATGACTTGCGTTAACATTTGTTGTGGCTATATGCTCTTCATTATTTATATTTTGTAACTGTTTAGCCACCTTCAAACGTGTTAAATTTATTTATTTTTTTATTTTATATAAGAAAGGCGAATTTTTGAATGTTATTTTATACTATTAAGACATATTTCACTATTATACTATCATACTATCAATTCTACTACTGTATACACTCACACGTAAAACTGGCCACTTTGTTTTTTCACAAATTTTTAATATGTTCAAATGGCAATAACTCAGTGAAAAATAATCGTATCTAGATTTTTTAAAAAGCGTTTTAAAGCTTGAAATTTCTACTTTTCAAACCAGTATTTCAAAAAATGGTACTACTGATATTTTATAAAGTTTTACACAAACATAAATAAAGATGCATAAATTCTCAAAATTTTTTATGAAATTTGCGAAATTCCACGAGACCAATTAAAAATTCCTCGCAAATGGGGTTTCAAAAAGCTTTCAAAAAAGTGAATTTTTACCTTTAATTTGTTTTTTTATAGATATATCTCTATATGATTTTTTTTACCGAGTTATTCAACATTGAAGCAAAAAGGGTCGTTTTTGCTCGCCCACTGTCCGATTACCGAGGGGAGCATAGAATAGCATCCCAGATCGACACCCGATCCTGGCTACCCCCTTTCTCCCACCTCGGCAAGTGCCTAAAACGATCCAGGGTGAGTCCCTGCACCACGACAAGGCCGCGCCCCCTTCGCGGGGGATTGTTAAAACATTGTAGTTAAATAACATAACTCTTAAAAATGTATTAAATTTGATAATAAATTTTGACTCAAATTTAATTTATTATTTACAAAATACATACATTAATATAAACACTTTGAAACTAATAAATAGATTGATTTTGACACACTAAAGTTAAAAATAACAAAATGCCAATAAATGTAAGGGATAAGGTTGCCCTTTGATATTGGCGATAATATAACATAATTGACGTTTTATAATAGTGTTTTAAATTTACTCATTTATTTGATAAAATTTATACAAATGTCCGAACTGTCAAGAATGGTAGCATATATTTAATGTTTATTAAATTATTTATTCCAATTAGGTTTTGCAATTTATATTGCAAATAAAACAGACAAAAGTAAAATTTGGCTTAGGACATTTCTGCTTTGGATATAGTTGTATCCGCTGGGTATGTTTTATTTTAAATAAAAATATAAAAGTATGTAATAAATATTAACATATATACATATATATATATATATATATATATACATACAGGGAAGGACCGTAACTCTATCCTCTTAGAATATTTTTGCTATTTTTAAAGATATATAATAACGTATTTATTGAAGTTGCATAGCATCAAAAGGGAATAATATACTACTAACAATTTGTCTATGGATGGAGGCTCTTCGGAGATTTCAAAGTCATCTCCATTTTATTTAATGGAATTATATAATTTTTTTACACAATATAATTCTTCTAATTATTCTGTATATAAAAATATTATGGTAATGTATGAAAAAATCAAGTTTATTTATTCTTTAGGTATTTATTCTTAAGATATTTATTCTTTATTTTGACATATATTTACATAAAATATTTAATAACTCATAAACTATTAATATTTTTGGAATCATACCCTAATGCTTTTTTGAAAAGAATAATGAGATGAATAAAAAAAACGATGGAAAAAAACGCATTGCTTAAAAAATATATGTATATAAAATGGATAATTTTTTGCAAAAGCAGCTATATATTTCATTTCCATCAGTTGATTCATCTTATTATTCTGTTCATATAAGTATTAAGGAATTACAAAAAAAATTAGTAATTTACGAGTTATTTAATAATTTATGTCAATATATATACCAGATTAAAGTACCAAATATCTCTATTAGCTTTTTAATATCACTAATTTAGTGATATTAATTAATACTTTTAATACTTTTACATGCAAAATAAATAGAGAAATCATATTGTGTAACAAAATTATTCAATTCTATTTTAAAAAGTAGAGGTGAACTTGAAATCTTTGAAGCGCTTTCACCTACAGAGAAACTATTACTAGTATATTGTACCTCTCTTGACTACACAACTTTAATAAATATACGAGTGTATATTTATACGAATAAATACCGACTGCTGGCAACAGTTTCATGATAACATGGAACTCATGAACAAATATTTAAGCAGCGATAACAGAGTGAAACCCAACTTTGTTGTTCTAAAAAATATCACCATCAGCTTTACCACATCTTACGGATCAAAATCAATATTGATATCGTATAAAGAAGAAGAGGAAAATTCCAACGGAAATCTTCGAAAAGAAGAGGACGCGGTCGATTCAACTCCTTCGGCGAAGAAACAAAGAACCTACGTAGCGGCAGTTGTGATGCAAAAAACCACCTTCCTCGGGCTGCGAAGCATTGTAAAGTGCGTCGATGCGCGCTTAAAACAATTAGAATATTTAGCCGATAATGTTAACAAGTGTGCTTTATATTTAATTCAAGAAATCGAATTGAAATTACCCCAATGTTTCATTAATCAGGAAATTTTAAAATTAACACTGCGTGGTAATTGCGAGGATATAGAACGTAATGTGCGTACACAAATTAACGACTTAACTTTTCTCGATATGTTTTTTAATATAATATTTTTGGAATTAACTTCGTTAAGATATAGCGAAATTT